TCATAATCTTGTCCGAACGTAGCTTCTCGCGAATTTAACTGCTTTTCTATATTCAGATTGGTTTTTAATGTACTTCAAGTTTCAATCCGGCGTTGTACCTTTTCATGCTTTATCCCAATATATATATACGCCTATCGAAAATTTTACATTTGTTTCGAGAGAAAAAGAAATGAGAAAACAATTTTTTGCACAAATATTATTGGGCCACATCAACGAAACCCCATATAAATTCTATTATAGTAAAATATAAAGTTAATACTAAAATACCATATAAAATATATAGGAGGCAAAGCGACTGAGAATGCTCGAAAGCATTAAGCTGCAAAATGTTTCGATGGAATGTTTAATACAGTGCGTTGACTGCATCGTGTTCGCGAGAGGAATCGATTTTAACCGAGTGAATTTGTTGCGCTTCGATAAGCATTTAGAAAAATTGAAATAATTTTCAAAATATTCTCAACTATGAAATTCTCTAAATAGCTTAACATATAACATTAACGTACGTAATATTATATAGACAAGACAACAAAATAAATTAATACGATAAATATTAATTGTCATTATTAAAAATAATATACTTTTACTTCGTAATGACGGTTTTTCTGTGGCTGTCTTGGGTCTCTCTCCCTCTCTCTCTCTCTCTCTCTCTCTCTCTCTCTCTCTCTCTCTCGCTGCTTAACGTCGAATAAATAAATATAAGCAGTTGAAAAAATATCCGCTTCGGTAAAGGCGAAAGGAAAAATTGCTTACGAGAAAAGTAAAAAAAGAAAAGGTATAAGAGTAGGCGCGAGGCAACAGCGGTCGGGGTACGCTACTTTCTGAAAGATAACGAGTCGCGTACCACCGTGGAGGGCAACGTCGTTAAAACTTTGCCACTCGTTGGCGAAAAACGAGCAAACTGAATATATGTAGTTACCTATTTATGTGTATGTATATTTAAATAACCTTTCCAGACGTCGCGGCAACTCTTCGTGTTTCTTTCGTGAGGTCGGTTTTCTAAGAAAATGGTTATTTCTTGAAAAATATTTTCATGTTCTGCAGCCTGCCATCAAAGTCAAACGATCGTAGTCATTCAAGTGCAATATTCGAATGCGTTAGCTTCTACGATTTATTTTTTATCTTATATCTTTGAACGTATTCCAATCGTCGTTTTGTATAAAAAGAATTTTAGCAACCTCCTATGTGTACCTACATAGAGAAAAATCGATTCGGTATGCAAAGTAGTGGGCCGCGAGTAACTGATAAGAAATATAACGGTACAGAGAACGTGGAGAGATTAAGGGCTCAAAGGGTAGGGAACAATAGGGAAATGGTTTGATAACCGTTTGTCCGTTGGTAAGCTAATCCTTGGAGAACATTGTGCATCTCAACGTGGGAGCACGCATACGTAATTTGGTATTAAAGGGTATCGCCGTAACATCGGACGAATAACAATCCTGCATAATATAATCGATATCATCTTATTTTTCTTATCTCTCGAGCGAATAGGGCATTTGGCATATGACATTCGTTCTTCGACATCTTTTGTACGACTCTTTTTATATCGAATTCGAGCATATTCGAGGGAATTAATATCATAGGATCGATTTTATTCGATTCGATTCGATCGTTTGAGGATCGTCCAAGGGAAGAAAGTCGGCACTATCGGCGCTCAAAATGAAAACGCGAATGGTCGGTTATGAGAGACGCGAAATCGTTTCGAAAATGGTAAGAAGAAAGTTTCACGGACCGAGGATAAAAGTGGCAGAGGATTTCAATCGGAAATGGACTTGCAACGAACCGAATAAAGAAGAAAGGAGAGAGAATCGTACGCTGGCCGACGGCACAATTTTAAACTTTCTCGTTTTCTTCCTTTGGTTTATGCTTCTTTCGGATAAAGAGGAAGCGTGCTGAAAATTTTCGACGACGGAATTCGACGAGAAACCCTGTTAAAGGTTTGACACCCAGAATACCGATTCCGTCGAGTACGTTAAGAGCATTTGGCTACGTTCCAACGTAATAGCATCGATACTTATTCTAATATAGAAAAGACGTTTCGACAAATTCTTCATTTCATTCATCTTCACCTCAATCTTATAGTTTAACAAGTATCTATTAAAAAATATCTATAAAAAAAAACGAAAAAGAAATACGGGGTAACACCGTGGCACGATACAACGTACATTGCATCGTTGTATCGATTTGTTCGCGAGAGAATTGATAATAAGCAATCCGTATAGTGGTAAGCAAAGACGATATGATAAAGATTAGGGTACGCGTGAGTCGGAGAGGAGCGATCAAAGTTGGATCAAAGGGGTTGTTGGTTCGCTCCCTGGCTTCGTTCGCTGGCTTCCCTCGCTGGCTCCGCTCGTTGGCTTCGCGTACGTACTTACTACCTATACCTACGTATCTGGCATAGAGCCAATGCAGATTTTCCGTCCTAGCGTAATTCCCATTGCAGTAGCCCACCGGTAGCACGGCGATGGTGCGACGTTAACTCGGCCATTTCCTTCTAAAAGGTGAAAAGAGTGGTGCGCTCATAAAGAAGTGAACCTTGTTCCTTCTCGACTGCTTTTTCTCGCCAAAAGAAAATCTACTTCTAAATCGATAAATCTACCAGATGCATTTTTAACGCCATCGCACTACCCACCCGTTATTATTAATAATAATTTTACTCAAAAGGAACATTGCTTTCATTATTATTCCATCAAGCTCTATGAGAAATATAGTTCCCTTTAATCGATCGAATCGAACGAACGAACGAACGAACGAACGAACGAACGAATGAACGAACGAACAATTTTTCTGATTCAAGTCGAGAACCAACGCGAAAACGATTTACCTTTTTTCTCTTCTTACACGCAAAACGCAAACCAGACACGAGAAATACATTGGTTATTCTCTCGGGTATATCGATCCGTACTGTACTATATGTACTTACTTACTTATACCTCATTAGAAAAATCAAAATATTCCCTTATGGAAAATTACACACGGGTATATCTGTTCGGTGTCATTAGGAAAATTGAACGATCGCAGTCGTACGATCCTTCTCGTCGTAAACGCTCGTCGCCAACGAGGAAATTAATCGCAAATTAATCGTATCTGGCACGGTATCGGCTTTCCTCCATTTTCTATTTTCCTCGAACCTTTCAAACGAGTTAGACGAATCGCGATCAGTGAAAAGCGGCACCTCTAGGCGATGGAAATTAATCTAATCTTTTCGTTCCATCTTCTTCTTCTTCTTCTTCTTCTTCTTCTTCTTCTTCTTCTTAGTTCTTCGTTCTTCTTCGTTCTTCTTCGTTCTATCGAATGGTTCAAGATATACAATCGCATCGAGGATCACCTTCGAATTTTAATTTATTTTTAGCCTCCGCTAGCAAGCCTTCTGGCTTTTCTTCGACTTCCCAACCGACATCCGATTCTCTTACCAATTTCCTTCCACTTGACTGTGAGTGGATTAAACCAAGGTTACCTCGGCGTTGCGATTATTTCGATACTTCTCTACTAGAGTAGAACGAATCGTAAATAAATTTTTCTTCAGTTCTCGTCAACTCGGACAATGTCGAAAATAGTCAACGAAATCTTTAAGTACAATTATTGATTCTTTTATTCTACAAACCATCGTCGTTACCGATGCCGCCGCCGCCGCCGCCGCTTCTCTCTCCCCGTTAAATTTATTATCACATTTATTCGTCCTTGACACTTTCTTATCGCAAATCGATACAGTTTCATATATCCACTTTTAAGGATTCGTTTGCGTTAGAAAAAATTTTATCCAAATAACCAAGCCATCCATCCATTCTCGCTGTCTTAAAAATATCCCTTCGGTAAAGGCTCAAAAGAAATTGTATTAGTCCTGTCGTTGATCGATCACAACCGAACGGACCATTTCTAACAATGGCAATAGATCCGTCCGTGTACAATGAACTTTTCGATAGATCGGTTATCCTAAACCGGGACCAATGTATAAAGCATGTATTTCGTCGAATCTGGAATTGAAATTTTATTCCGCTACTCCATCGAATTTCACCGTATTTCTTTGCTATTCGGATATCCCCGGTCGTAATGAAGTCTCGATCGATTTAACCTTATCTAAATGGATGCCTACCCGAAGAATGACTTGAATTATTCTCCTTTTTCAAATCTTTTCCCCGACACTGTGATTATCAATTCTACACTTTTCTCTCACGTCGTCTCTTGAAAATAATCTCTTCGACAAAAGGATATCCGTTTTTATAGTTTCCTCTTTCCCTCGCACCCTCCCCCCTCCCTTCTCTTTCTCTCTCTCTCTCTCTCTCTCTCTCTCTCGCAGCAATAAACGAAACCGATAAATTCGTATAGAAGGGTAACCGTATCTTGCTTTTCCGTTTCATTGCATTGTGATCGAGCCGTGACCCGTACAACGATCGCACGCTCGATATACCACAATATCGCGGTATTGTCATTACATGTCGATATTTTTTTCTCTTGTAAAAAAAAAAGAAGAGAAAAAAGAGGGGAAGAAGAAAAAATTTTATCGTAATCTAGTGCAACGTTTCGCAGAAAAAAAAATGGCTTATCCTATGTTCGAAAGTAAATGCAAAAGCCCGTGGCTGCTTTAATAACGATGAATAATTATTTTAATAACTCAAATTTCCTTTTGGATTAATTAAAAATTCTGTTAGAAAATTTTATATCATTCTATTCGTTATTATTATATATGTCGGGTAATCGCATTTAATTAAATTAAAACGTCTAATGGAAATTAATCTTAGAAAGTCATATATCAATGTGGAAACGAAGATATTCGAGAATAGATAATGAAATATGCTTGCAAGGTGCACCCCAAAATTGAAACGTTGCTCGTATTATAATAATTCGATGCATCTAGGTGCAATGTCGCATGGAATATGATATATCTAAGTATGTACTACGTTATGCGACGATGCATTATCCTCGCCATATATTTTCATTACCGATACACGAATCTCGTTGGTTTGTTATTTTAGTTTTGACATTTTTCTCTGTTCTCATTTCAGCTAAGTTGGACGGTGTGAAAACTTATATGCGAATGAGACGGGTGCCGAATCATCTGCAACAGAAAGTGATCAAATGGTTCGATTATCTCTGGTTGACGCAAAAATGTTCCGACGAGGAGAAGGCCATTAGCTGTCTTCCCGGTGAGTCATGTTTCTTTTACATTTTCTTTAACTAAATCATTAGTTTATACATTTCGTTCATTAAATCCCTCTATTGACAAATATCTCGCACGAAAATACATATTATTCTTTCGCACGACTAACTCGTGCATATATCTATAGCTCATATATATAGATTCGCACGAAAGAGTTAATTTCGAGTGGCAGTCAGCTTGAATTTATTCTAGCAGAAGGGAAATATGAAAGCGTATGGGACGAGACTTTGGAACGAAATAAAATGGAACTGCTTTTATTGTTAGGTAGTAAGAAAATAATGATGTGAAATGACAGATGCTGGAAAACGTTGCTGAGAAGCGACGATTGTGTACCTCGACGAAGACTGCACCTCAAAACAAACGATCGTTGTCGATATTCAACATGACATGAGTTCTTTGTCATTCACGGCTCTCATCTATATGCGTAATATAAACAGAATTCGAGAATGCATTGCGATTGAAATAACGTGAAAAATCTCAAAAGAATTACATTTTTAATTCGACTCGATTCTAACGTAACGTCGTTATTTTTCGACAAAAATCAGAGAATTGAACATTGGAGAGATATAAATTCTTAGGATAACTTGTAAGTGAAACTAAAGGTTTACACTAGATGTCTTTTACGGATTATCGGTAAGCATTTCCCAGAGGTCGGAGTCTATTTTATCTATTTTATCACACATAAGAAACTTCGCAACTTGGAAACAACTTTAGGCTTTTGCGTTCTTAACTATAACACAGTTTTTATTTTATAAAATGCAAAACATTAGAAAATTAACATTAACAGTGATTTCGTATTTTTCATTTCATGTCAACATTAAAATGCAATATTGTTATATGAATGTCTCTAGGTAATGTGAAAAGGTAAATGAAATTCATGGTAGTAAATTATTATTTTATTGTCAAAGTTAAACGTCTTTCTCAATAATCCTCCGGTAAAAGGAAATAGCATTGAGCGGTATAGGAGACTTAACGAAGGAATAGGAGAGTAGTATTAAAGGGAATCGTTTCGTTTCAAGAACGAGCTGCATTTCTCGATGCAATAACCTTTCCATGAAATGCAGATTCTAAAGTTTCGGACGATAATACCGATATAAAGAGAAGATGTGAATGAAATATTATTACGAGATGAAAAATATTATTCTTTCAGTGCGACGAACAAAAAGATCGGGATTGATACGTTCATCTTCTTCTTTTTTCTCTCTTTTTTCTTTCTTTTTTTTCCCTTTTTTTTTTTTTTAATCAAAAGTTTATCTTATTACGAGAAATCCCATACATTATGTTGCAGACAAGTTGAAGGCCGAAATCGCGATAAATGTACATTTGGAAACGCTGAGAAGGGTTGAAATATTTCAGAACACAGAAGCTGGTTTCCTATGCGAATTGGTGCTTAGACTGCGACCCGTTCTTTTCTCACCTGGTGACTACATTTGTCGAAAAGGTATATGGATCTGTTTACTTCAATTTTTTATCTGTCTTTCTTTTCTTCTTTTTAATTTCTATTTTCTTCCCGTACAATGCTTCCTCGTTAATACGAAAATCTGGAAAAGCGCCAGTCGATGCACCGAAAAAAGAGAGCCAAAAATGAACTCTCTCTCTCTCTCTCTCTCTCCCTCTCTTTCTCTCTCTCTCTCTCTCTCTCTCTCTCTCTCTCTCTCTCTCTCTCTCTCTTTCTTTTCTATTTCCTCTACCCAACTTCTTGGCAACAGCCGTAGGTATACCGCGGAAAAATGAATTCGAGGATCTCGATGTACTGCCTGCAATGTCTCTCGACCAAAGAAATACGGTTACTAAGAATAAAATGATAAGATGGAACGGACAGGAACAAAGGATGGTTTCGTATTCGAGCGTGAAGCCGTTAAAGCAAGATCCTTTCAGAGACCAAAGATTGTAGATCCGACAGACAAGACTTTCTCGTTTTCTTTCATAGATGACAACGCTGAGAGAGCAAATAATTTTGTTTCGACAAGAAGAAGATAAAAATGAAAAAAAGAAAAAGAGAAAAAAGCGTAATCGTCTTACAGTTTATTCCGTGTCTCTCTCTTTCTCTTTCTTTCTTTCTCTCATCTATCTATCTTCTCGGTTCAATGACTTGACCGAGTTATAATTATACTATAATAGAAATAACGCTCCAACTCGTATAATATATTAGATTTTCTGAGGTAATCTAAAATTGTTTCTACATTATTGTTAGCTTCATTATCGCAGCGGTGTAGTTATAGTTATTAGCAGGCAGTTTCGACTCGATGGGAAAATTAGGGAAATGGAGAATTGAGGAAGTTGACGTTTATGTTCACAGGTGAGGTAGGGAAGGAGATGTACATAGTGAACAGTGGTCGGCTCCAAGTTGTGGCCGACGACGGGAAGACGGTCCTCGCCACCCTTAAGGCGGGTTCCTACTTCGGGGAGATCAGCATTCTCAATATGGGGACTGCAGGTAAAGAGTGCGGTAAATATTCCAACCGAAGCAGGGGCCCGTGAGCTGTCCCCCTCGTTTTTCACGATCACGTTATCACGTTTCACGTTCTTACCACGTTCTATGAGAGGGCAAGCCTTCGAGCCGGTATGAGCCGATCTAAACTCGTCTACGTTCATCTACACATATTATATACTTACATTCTCTATCTATCCATATTTTATATACATCTATGGTATGTAGGTATATATATATATATATATATCCATATGTGTGTATATATATACGTATGTGTGTGTGTATATATATATATATATATATAGAGTGCTCTTTATTATATTATTCTCTTTCTTACATCGACGCCCTATTTGTCGACTTTACCTCATCGAAACGGGATCGACATTCACGCAATGACCCCGGCACCATTTGACGTCATCGCTATCGCTATCGTACAAGAGCGCACACACATCCTACGTCTTTACTTCCGCACAAGATTCTCAACGTCGATTGCTCTTTCTTCTTTCTTCTACCAAAAGCTAATTCTCTCCAAACTCTTGTTTACGACGTTCGAGAGAAATAGAGAGAAAAATCTCTCTTAAACAATGAATGATCGTTTGGCAAACTCGCGGAAAAAGAAGTTTTCTTTCTAGTCGATTTAATAGACGTCACGAATATCGTTACGTACTCAAAACTATATATATATATATATATATGTGTGTGTGTGTTCTTTTTTCTTCCTCTTTTTTTCAAAACAAACTATGACGTAATAGCTATAATTGATTCAAAGGAAAAATACCGTATTTGCGTGAACGTCGACAAGTTTCAATTAAGATCCGTGACACGTACTTATGTATCATCATCCTTTTTAGTCTCTTTCCTTATATACTTCTTCTCGATACTCACCTATTTTCACCTTTTTCTCAATTTCGAGCGATACGACAAGAGCGAATCGAAGAGTCGACGATTACGTTGAAAATACATAATTAATAGTCGGATTGATCGTATCTTTCTTTTTCATTTTCTCTTTGTACGTTTTATCGAAATGCATAAAAATTTGTAAATTTGAGAATCGGTCGAAGAAAATTTAACTTTAGAGAAGTAACGAAAATATTTGTCTGGTCTTCTCTTCGCGTTCGAGCATCTACATTTTAACTGATTTAAATGCGCATTACATATGCGAACGAAGAAAGGATTTTCCGTTTCAAAATTTCACATACATCGGTGCATTCAAATTGTCCTCCGTTATTTTACTAGAGAATTATTACGTCGTATCGATCGATCGACATCCGTCGCTATCTCTTGGTCATTCGTATAATACCCCCTCGTGCTATAACGCTTTTGTAGTATCTAGTAGACGAAATAGCTTATACGTATATACCGTCTCTCCTAAATTTTATACACTCTCCCTAAATTATTATTCGATTTTCTTATCGATCTTCTTGTACTTATTTACTTCTGTATGATCGGTGCTGCAACGACACGCTGCAATTTTATAAACTTTTACTATCGTACGAATATCTCTGACAATACGAGAACTATTGGAAAGGCTTTGCAAATGAAATTTAAATTTGTCTAGTTCTTTAATAAAAATATATATCGCTAAATATTTTAATTTGTTAAAATGCATAAATATGCGAATGAATTAACGATAAATGAACGATCGATATTATTTGCAAATACTTTCCGCATTTTCTCATACGGATATTTTTCATTGTTTCATATTGCACATATATTGCATACTTTACTTCTTTACTCACAATCTTTTACCATTGTGTCCCAATGATTTACCATTGCTCTACAGATTATTATTGCGATTTATGGCTATGTATTGCGTACCCATTCCCTACGAATGTATAAAATATGCAAGTGAAATTTCCCTTCCGATTATCGTATACGATTTTATTACCGTAGATATTAGCTTTTATCATTTTAGCAAATTATCTAAATATTGATTCTTATAGTGATATACAAATTTATTGCATTTTATCACGCGCGCACGGGAAGGTAATCGCTTTTCGAATGAAAATCAAATTAACGTCATAGTGATATATGATACCGGCATAAAATTAACTATTAATTAATAATATTGTGTAGTTTTCATCTAAGCGAATATTTTTCCATGCGACTCAAGTATTTTCGATTTTTATCTCGCACCCTCGAAACTGTTCAAGAAAAAATTAAGGAAAACGTCTCGTAAAATTCAAATGGATCTAAATCATTCAAACTTATCAACTTTGAGCTCGTAGTTTATAGAGAGAAAAAAATTATTGGCTAATGTAATATTTTGTAGTTTGGGAAAAAGTCGATGAAAGAGACAAGATCGAGTCATTGGTTGTTCAAATATTTTTTTTGCAGCAATGTGTGCGATCAAAGTCTCCTTGTTCGAAATTAATAGTATGTTTAAATTCACTCAATTCTCACGTTTATTATACGAAGCGTTATTACGGAGAAACATGACGCGATTTCCAAATTACTAAGATGAAAGTAATGTTGTACGAAGTACGTTACATGTCGACCAACCGATAACATCCTTTGCAACAGTGAGCCACGAAAGCTTTGTGAGCGAATAAACGAGAGTCAACAATAGTTTATTTACTCGTTCGTGACATGTCTTATCGTTGTTCATAGAGATATAAAAAGATCACATTTTTAACGAGGACTAAAGAAAAAAAAAATGAGGGATTGAAAAAATCTATCGTACGCTCGCGCGCATATTAATCATTCCTATTAAATTGTCCGATATCGATGATCTCCACGCGACTCGATAATATGACCAAGAACGAATCGGCATCATGAAGAGAAGGAGAGAGAGAGAGAGAGAAAGAGAGAGAGAGAGAGAGAGAGAGAGAGAGACGATCGAGAAATCGATCGTAGCGAGATAAAAAAGAAAGCTTGATGCATCCTGGTAACCAATAAATGGCTACATCGACGCAGGTAATCGACGAACAGCGAGCGTGCGGTCGGTCGGCTACTCGGGTCTCTTCGTTCTCAGTAAAAAGGACATGTGGGACGTCCTCAAGGAATATCCAGCTGCCAGAGTACGACTGGAATCCATTGCGGTCAAAAGATTGGAAAAGTACAAGAGAGCGCCCCTTAAGAAGGGTGAGTCCTTTAATACATGTATTATTGGGATTAAATCGATCTCATTGATTATTTCCTCGCGTAATTTCATATACTAACGGAATAATACCGAATACGCATATGGTAGGAAATCCGTTCTCAAATATCTAATCAGAGGCAAGTAGACACGTACGAGTAATCATTGGCGCTTGAGTATTTCAACGATGTTCGCTAAACAATGACAAAGGCGAGGTTGTTCAATGAAAAGAGCTCATAGAGATGAAATGAGGCGAAGCGAGAAAAGGACGAGACCAATTTTGCTCGGGGCTTAGAACGCTTTAACGCTGCAAGGATAGACTCCTTTCAATGTGCTACGTGTTCGCTTATGGAAAGCGTATCAAAAACAAAGATATTAATTAGCAATAGGTATCTATGGTAAAGCGGACTATATATATATATATATATATATATATATATATATATATATATAAAACTACGATCGAATAAACGCCCCGAGTTATTTTTTAATGATAGAGAGCAAAGATTTTGTATGCTTTAATGAAGCTTCGAAAAAGTGCGTAATCTTCTTTTGGCGTCAAAGCGAAATCATAGAGATAGTCAGTTTGACATGTTGTTCGATTCGTCATTAGATAAACGTCAAACGGTTCGTTAGCGTAAAGGGTTAACATCGAGCCAATTTCTGATTATTACGATATATCGCCAACAAAGTCGTATGAAAATTTTCAGTGGCTATGAGCAGATGCCAGAGTACGCCAGGTTTGGTGGAATCACATGCACGAGTACCACTAGAGGATATGCTGGTGTCATCGTTAGACGAAAAATTAAGAGGACAGGGTTATGCCATAGGGGCCGGAACTCGTTCGCTATTTACTCCGAGCTCGAGCCCTGTGCTGACGCGAGCTGCCGTTGGTGTTGCCAGCGTCGCTACGAGCATCGCGACAGGCCCTATTCTCCCCGGTAACAACGTAAACGTCAACGTCAACGTCAACAACGTCAACGCCAGCAGAAGTATGGACAGCCCGATGAGTGCCACCAGCAGCGGACAGAGTAGCGAGGATCCAACTGCCAGGATGCCTCGATCGGTTGCGACTCAACCCTCCACCGGAAGGCAATCCACTCATTCCGGTGAGTCAATTATTAAAGATTATCCCTTTGGGAGAAACCGACGCGACCAATTGGAAAAGAAATGTTTCCAACTCGAGTACGAGTAAAGTTTGAAAGGTGTCCCCCCTATAGTCGTTTTACCTTTACCGTAGAAGCAATAAAAATTCCCCCACCCCCGATCGAAGATAGAAAATGCGACGACTAGCCTTTTAACCTTTCGATAGCCTTTGACCTAGGTGATAATTAAAACTACTACCTTATCTCTTACGTCGGTATATTACGTCGATTAGGAAGAATCGTGTCGTTCTGTTCCCAGGTATGACGTGCAACAGCATGACGCAATTGATGAGCGAGGGCGCGACACCTCTTCTCGACACGCACGAGACTCTTTTGGCGGAGATCAAGCGACTTAAGGAGCGTCAGGTATGCTTGGAAACGGAAAACGCTACGCTGAGCGCTAAATTGAATCAACAACAGTGGGAGGTCGAGCAACGTTTGGCAGAAATCGAGCTACAAATTTGCGGAGCGAGTTCTACGTCGAGCGTCGAAGACAACAACGAACGTAATCGCGAGAGCATCATTTAACGAGAAACAAGGCCGCGAGAGCGCGGCAAAGCTAAGATGGAGCGAATACGTCGTTATCTCGAGCGTGCTGCTGACGACGTCGGCATACGTTCTTTGGGCAACGTCGAACTCGAGGGAGTAGCACGATTCAGCGACACCAAATCGATTGGCAGCCTAAGTCAGCATTTATTCGAGAGCGACGAGGACGAGAGGTACCCAATCGTTTCTTGAACGATATCTTATCATATTTTCTTCGATCTCCGTCTATTTGTTTGACAGGTATTACGGGACGTGCAATGGTTACGCGTCGCAACCAGGAAGCAAATCGAACCTGTTGCTTTGCAGCGAGTGCGACCAAAAGACCCGTACTTGCACGTACAGGCCCCAAACTCCAGGGTCTTACGTCGGTCGTTACGTCGAGGAACGTCTCGATCCTGGCGAAGAGTTTGCCTTCCTTCGCGCGGACTACAAGACCCCGGTCCGTACCAGCCCTTCGCCCAGATCCTCGCGCGATCCTCAAGAGATCTCTTCCTCGCCAAGACCGCGCGATCACGAACGACTCTTTCAGGATTCATCGTCGCCTCGATCTTTGCGCCAAGAGAAGGAGCTCTTGTCGTGCGAATATCTTGCTCGCGAGGAAACTGTCGAGGAAACGGAAAAACGTCAAAAACAGGAAGCGAAGGAGGAGGAGGAGGATGAGGAGCAGGAGGAGGAGGAGGAGGAGGAGGAAGAGGAGGACAGCCCAGTTTGCGAGCTCTGTCATGGAAACGGCCTCGTCCTCGTTCATTGCGAACACTGCGACTTTTCAACCGAAGGAGATCTCATATGTTTTCGGTGTCAAAGCGACGAAGGCTCCTCGAACGGCAACAACGGGTGTCCCCGTTGCGAGAGAAGCGCCAGGATGGCGGCTGCCGGCGTTACTTCCTCCGACGACGAGAATCATCATCCTCCCGGCAAGTACCCCGTAGACGCGGTCGTCAAGATCAAACTCAACGATCGAACGATCGACGTCGATTCGGACGATACCAACGATAGCGATCCTTCGATCGATCGTCACAGAGGTCAAATAGATCGTCTCGACACGATCGTCGAGACTAAAGGCGACACTGCCAGCGAAAACGACGACGATAACGGCGGTGCCAAGCTTAACGGAACTACGAGCCCGAGATATTTCAATTACATGATCGTCCTCTTCTTGTAAATAAACCCGAATCGCTGCGACATCCATCAATTTCTATCCGTGACGTAGAAGAAGATAAGAATGGTCGGTGATAAACTTTGACCGACCTGTCACTGTATATAAACTGCCAGGGGACACGATAGTCAAAATTGGTACTCTCTAGTGCGACGTAGAATTAATATAGTTAGCTCATAATGGTAATTAAGGTGGCAAAATAAAAAAGAATCAGAGAAGACGATAAGCGAGAAACGCCGTGCGAATGGATTGAAAAGAAGAAGATAGGAGAAAGTAAGAAATAAAGAAAGAAGATAGTCTCAGGGACGATGGCCGATCTGCCCTGATGACTTTCCTCGATAATTATCGAGGCGTTTCCGCGCGCAACCATTAGAATGGGTTTGTACAGAGATCGCGATTATACTGTCTTTCACTTATGAAGACCTTCCGTTATTTTCTATCCAAAGATAAGCGACGAAAAATCGAGGGCTCCTCGTCTCGCCGATTGCGAACTGCTTTATAAAGAAGGAAGATTACACGATACGATCGACACGAAGAACTTATACGAAACCGCGAAGTACATGCTGCCAATAATAAATCAAAAATCGAATAGCGCGCGAGGACTTACGATGTAAGATTTTTCATACCTTCGATCGACTTCTTTCTTAGCTTACGTAAAAGCAATAGACGCGAGCCCGCACACACGTACACATGGGCACAAACACGCACTCACACACCCACACCCACACACACACACACACACACCCAAGCATGCACGCACGCACTCGCGTCTCTTATTTATTACGTATATACGCTTTTATCGAGTAGATCCTACGGTATAAACTTCTCGCGTCTTTCTCGCGGATTACTCGCGTATCGTCGGAACGACTAGAATAATTTAACGTTATTATCTAACGCGATCGCAGAGCGTGAGATATGATAAAAATGTCAATTCCTAAAACGCAAATCGATACGATCGAGGCAACGCGTAAACTGCCATCATTTTCACACGGTTTTAGCTAAGATTTTTGCACAAACCCATGCTAACTCATGTTCGGGACCAACTTAAATCCATCATCCAAGCGACAAAGCCACTTCCGAGTCTCCACCTTTCGTTCATAGTCGTTAGTCGCTAAATTACGCCGGTTTCTCGACATTTGCGACATCCAAACGATTCGACGTTAACCAACTTTACGAAGATAGAGGCAGTACTCGATATATCGTTTGAATCTATCGTTAAATAATAGAAAGAAAAAGATGAAGAAGAGAAGGTGGAGGAGGAGGAGGAGGAGGAGGAAGATAAAGAAGATATATATTCGCAGAACCAGGCTACCTCTATTTTCGTACGCGCGGAAAACTACGAAAGGACGCGATCATAAGCCAAAATAAAAATGACGAACGTTACGATCAGATTCGATTTCGTAAAACCGTTCGCTTCGAATACTCGCGGTGTCGCACTTCGCCTACGATAGACACCGTGAGAAAATTTCAATGATTCGATGAACTCGAGTTCATTGTCCCGACGCGAACCACATTTCAAAAAAAGAAAAAGAAGCGCAGAAATTGTGCGCGCACTTCTTCGCCTATTTCATGGGGGCTTTCGTCACGTTCTAAAGATGGCGCCCAATGGGTTAATCCCTTAGAAGGAACAAATGAAAAAAGAAACGAAAGGAAATCTATACATAAGAAGAAGAAGAAGAAGGAGAAGAAGGAGAAGAAAAAATGTCGGAGAAGGAGAAGGTGGAAGAAGTGTTTTCCAAAGGAACCAAAAGTTGAAAGAGACGATTCTCGAAAAAGAAAAAAGAAGAAAAGGGAAAAAAGTTGAAAGAAAAAAAAGAAGGGCGCAAACGACGACGAAACAACGGTACGAATGAAAGATATGGATTTTTTAAATATTTTTCAATCATCGAATTATAGAATTTATTAGAAAATGAGACTTTTTTTAACGTCCGTTTCTAAACCTCAATGTAATCGTCTCTCTCAGAGAGCGATCGCTACTCGCCGAAGGAAGAAAAGTGAAAAGAAATAGATGGAGATGACACGATCTGCACACGTACACGACAAGATTCCAAGTTCTTCCGCTGGCATAGAAGAAATTAATTGCCCTTGCTTCCTCCTCCTCTCTTCCTCCGGAATAATATTAACAATAATAATAATAATAATAATAATAATAATAATAATAATAATAATAATAATAATAACAATAATAATAGTAATAATAATTAATAATAATACTAATAATAATACTAATAATAATACTAATAATAATAATAATAATAATAATAATAATAATAATAATAATAATAATAATAATAAATAACAACACAACAACAATAATAATAATAATAGGAGGAACAATGGCGAAAAGTTGTCGTCGTCGTCGTCGTCGTTTAAGAGATCGAACATATCGGCATATCCAGTATGTCTGAACGATTTCGTCTTGGAGTGGAAGCCGACTTGAGGATCGAAAAGGGGAAAAACGTAAATGCCTCCTGAGGATGTATGCAGGGTGGCTTGCGTCGAGGGGGAGAAGGACAAAGAACTCGCTTCGCCCGCGAACAGTAGCGATCAAGTGCTCTTACTACAAGATTCTCGCGGGGGATAAAAAAAATTGTAGATCTTAAGAGAAGCAACTGGAAAACGGGTTGGATGGTAGACGAGTCGTCTAATCGTAAGATAATCGTTCTCGATTTCTATCGCATCGAACGAACGAACGAATCTACACGCACGCGTCTACTGCCTTCGTACTTTATCTCGTAATACATAAGTACTTACATATTTTCATATTAATAAGTACATACTTATGTAAATACGAGAGAAAAGATATACCACGCATGATACGCGTCGTCCATCCGCCTTTGCGCCAAGCTACCACCGAGAATATTAAGTTATACTGCCACCTTATACTTTAAGGAGAAATACAAATGAACTTCCGCGTAAATTCGTTTAGAAAATTCGTTAGATTAGAAACCGTACATCGCGACTTTTGATCCTCTCTATAAAACTTAATACGCATACCAATATACACACTCGCGTATCGCGACGAAGAAAAAGGAAAGAAAAGAAATGAGAGAAAAAAAAAACAGAAGAGAGAACAAAAAAATGAAAATAAGAAATAAGAAAAAAGCGACGATACCGACGATAGAGAACAGCAAACGACTGACATCCCTTTAACATTTCCCGAAAAAAGAAAAAAGAACAAAAAAAAAAAACAAAAAAAAAAAGAAAAAAGATTTGTATTATTAATTGTTTCCTTCGTTATTCGCATCGATGTAATATATCATATAACTTACATAGTTACATAAATGATATACGACCATGTAAGTAATCATATTCCCTTTAAATAATAATGTTATGAAGACCCGAGAGATAAACGTCTGCGAACTTTATTTACTGCAAGTAAATGAAAGAAATAAGAGATTCGAATCAGCCTTAACGTAGACAATTATTAACTCTCTATTGAATTTATATGCGCGTGCAACGGGAGCGATTTACGTCAACGTATCGTACTTTTTAATCGTAACACTTTGAATGAAAGATCGCTGTGAACAACGACTAGCTCAGAGAAACGTGTGAAAAATTAATTCGCTCTTTATCATCGCCGTAATCAACATCTTCTCCTCGTAACATTATCGCAAAACCTTTATTACGCCCATCAGTCCGAGTTTATTGTGTAATAAGGAAAAAAAAGAAAAAAAAAAAAGAAAAAAAAAGGCAACAACACGCAGGAGGCAAAATGAATATCTTTTTCAATTTTTACACCGTTCGGCCGACACTGTGATATTTCTACATTTAATTATATCGTTAGAAACGATACTTTTTTTAATAAAAAGAATAAGAGGGAGGGGGAAGGAAGGATACGTTTCACAGTATCATCGGTAAATT